TCGTGCGCTTGCTCTCCTTGGCATCTGCCGGCAGCGGCGCGAGGCAGGCCATAACTGAACCTCCAGCGGCGACGACGTTATTCCAATCGGACAACTGAGATAGCGAACCCTCCGTGAAGATAGACCAGTTCTTTTTGAACGCGTCCAAGTCCTCTACCGTAGACGGCGCACCCTCGGGGCGACGGCGACCACCTGTTAACGGCATGACGTACTGTGCAAAAAGATCGTCGTCATCCTTGACGACACGTGAACGTGTGGTACGAATGTCTTCGGGAGCGTCGAACACGTCGACAAGGCCGACAAATAGGTCCTTGAGCCGGGCGTTGCTCTTGTCCATCGCGAAGAGCTTGCGCAGTTCGGCCTCGTCGTCAAGAGACGGCTGGAGGGCATCATCGAGAGAGACAGGCCCATTGGGCAGCTTCGCAATGCGGGCAATGAAAGCAGCAGCCTCTTTGTTCTGTGGAGACATTCCAGGTGCGGGGTGCTGGACGAAGGTTCATGCAAGCGGGGGGTCTTATAGCCACGCCGTGGTGTTTAATACAGTGCTGTCTCAGCACGTAAGAGCCATTTCCAGAAGACAGCTGGAGGGACTTTGACTCTGGTGTGCATGAGATCATGGGCGCACTCAATGAGTTACATCGTGGAGCGTTGATGTAACTTAGCTGTGTTCTGCAATCAAACGACAGACCTGCAGGCACGGAGAGGAGGCTGCGAGAGACAGCATGGCAGTTATAGGCATGTGCCTCTTCCCACGACAGTCAATTATCTCCCCCTCGCGAGTTAAGTCTTAAATCAGTCACCGTGACTCTTTTCAATTCTACGATTAATAGAAGACGGCGCATAAAGTCTGTGAGTAGGTGCTCTATGGAACACATCCTCTCTGAGTGGTAGAGCTGGCTTGACTTAGTCGTGGCGCAAACAAATATGGAATTTTTGAATAAAGTTGAAAAGCTGATGCCGCTAGACGGCGGGACCGGTGGCATGAAAAGCTCCTCTCGCCGATGACCTCTACATTCTCCAGCCCGCAATCTTCGCTGTCTTTGTACATAGCATCTAAGATTAAGATTAGCCCCTTGAGTCTTGAGCACACGCGTCCGTATCTATGGCCGTCGCAAGCGGCAGTCCAACAGAAGCGGTCCAATTTCGACGCAAGCGGGTATTGCCACGAACGTAGTTACCAAATCGCAGTCGAGATGGTCAGTATTCAGTCATATTCTGGGTTTTCCCGTCGCAAATAAGTTCTTCCGGCCCTTCCAGCCAGTTACGGGTCGTTCTGGTTCCATGAAGTAATTAGACCTTCTATGTACTGGCGGTTGCCGTCAGTTTGAAGGCGGTGCAAACTTCGGAAAAATGGAATGTGAGAGGGAAGAGAAATGTAGCGGCGAGCTATGAGTCGCCGAGGAGACGTACGGCAAAGTTATCCCTGGCTTGGGGGGACGGGGAGAGGAAAAGCTGCGCAGCCGCTAAAGCTTAAGCTGTCGTCGAAGTGAAGATCGCTCAAGTACCTACATGAGTCAGTGTCGGCCATAATCCAGTCAAGCGTTACAGCTGCTGTGAATTTCAGACAGCGTTCTGATTGCTGGCTTGCGTTGGACCTTCTAATACTTTTACAGGCGTTTGCCGTCTGAGACCGGGCAGCAAGGGGTTAAACGACGTGGTGTGGATAACTGTAGTGGCGCTCTCGAAGCAGCGTCCTCGCAATAAGACGATAGGGGTATCATGAAACGAATCGGATATGAGGAGCCCCTGGCCGGGGTCCGAACGAAAAGTGATGATGAGCGAATCTGAATCGACTGACGAACTGCACGACGGACTGGTGTGGTCACGGTGGTGTGACCGACGTGTGCATTGTGGTTATCACGTGATTTGACGCGTCGAGAAACGCAGAAGCCTTCGCGTGCCGTTTCATTCTCTCCGACTACGACTTCTACTCTGACTATGCCCATCCTCACTCCCTTTTCCCTCCCTCCTGACGTTGAGGAATCAGCTCTGAGCTCATCGACATCATCGTCCTCGGGCTGCATCACAGAGAGTGCTACGTCAACGACGCTGACATCCCTCAGTGCGCCTCCAAAGCAACCCAAGACGGTCGTGAATTTCAACGGACGAGTCTTGAATATTCCCTCGATTTGTCTGAATGAACCTTTCATAACGGATGATATGGCTGCCTGCCTTGCCATTAACTTCCTTGGCCACGTATTATTCCTCAAGAACCAAGTGCCGTTGTGAGTATTAGCCCATAATTGTTCGCGGGCACCCTGCGTTGCCCAATGTATCCATCTTGCTCTCATCTAACGATATTCCCACACACCATTAGCCCAGTCATGCAACTTCATCGACTACCACCGTCGTCAAATCCCCGCGCCAGCAAGAAGCGAGCGGACATGAGCGACACATTCGACGAGCTTACTTCTCACATTCATACGACCTTCTCTACCCTCTCTGATGCATTTGCGCGAAACGGCATCCGCTCCTTGTCGCTGCATTCTGAACCACATTCTGGAATCACCCCCCCTCTTCCCCTCTTCTCAGCTTATATGGCGATCTTGGTTGGCCCGACTCCTGGTGCGCCGAAGGCAAGAGTAATCCTCGCATTAGAGGGCCTTCAAGTCAAGAAATCGGGAACCAGGGAAGATCTGGACGGCGTCGGGGACGATGATGAGGACTTGTGCAAAGGAGAGCAGTCGTCGAACGACGAGGACGAGGTTGAGGCTGGGGTCGAGACCGAGGACCGAGGCGGTAGCGAAAAAGTGCCTGAAGAGAGTGTAGGCGACGCCTCTCAGGTGAATGGTCATCGTCGCGCCGACAGCCTTCCGAATGCTCTGTCCCCGTTATCTTCCTGCTCTTCGGGCTTGTCTATTACTCCTTCGTATTCTGCGCCACCTGTGCACCGCATATCACTCGCTCCCAAGGCGCTCCCCCTCAATTCCACCACTCGGCCCCATGCTGGTCCTGCCCCCCGCCATAGTTACGCCGAAGCTCAGCAACCGTTACGGGCAGCGGAACGTCTGCTATCTCGCGCACTCGCCAGTGCTGCGGCAGAGGACGGCGGCATGGCATCTGAACTTGGTATGTGGTCACTTATCGAGTTCATTACCATTACCTGAACGGCATATATCAGCTCCAACCCACATTCATGTCATGCTCCGCGCTCCACGGTGCTTCGCGCACCCTGCGTGGGTCCCTCGCCAGAACCTCTCGTCTTCGCTAGAAGCCAGCTTGCTTGAGTTTCTTACCGATTCCGGACTCGCGCCGACAGTAGAGGCACGTCGCCCCCGCAGGGGCGGCGTTCGCACTGAAGGTGTTCATGTCGGCTGCGCCGCTCTGCCAATTTCTGCGCCTATCGCAGCGTGCGATGTGGACAACGAGATGATCTGGTGGGCTTGGAACGGCAAGCTGACCGGCTTCTCGGAGTGGTAGTCGCCCCACGTGCACCTCGTCCTACTTCATGTCCGCCTGTGCGTCAACCTATATCTACATTAACTGTCAGACGCCCCATCTCCCACACATGTTGTTGTATATTCGCACGCATATCATCAACCCTCACCTGTAATGTACCACTACGCAGAATCGCACATCGACCCATAGTACTACAATACCCATCCAGTCTCAAACGTCCTCGAACCTCCACACGCTCTCCTTTTCAACTAGCTTGCCCCCTGTACCGAACCTCACACCTTCAAGGGCAAGCATCCGCAATTTCTCTCTCTGCACTGCCGCCGCGCCCTGCGCCTTCACTGACTCTTGCCAGTTCCAATCTACTGCGTCGTCGACGGACGCCGCGCCTGGGCTCTTCATGTCTGTCCATGCGCCACGGAATCCGCCGACGAAGAGACCTGTCGTCACGACACGGTGGCACGGCACGAACGGCGAAAAAGGGTTTTCGCGCAAAGCATTGCCGACAGAGCGCGGCGAGCCGGCTCCAATATGCGTGCAAAGGTCTTTATATGTTGTTACCTGTCCGTTTAGTATTGTGTACCAACAGCGTGCAAAACGACGCGGGTGGTGGACTCACCTTTCCCGGGGGGATCTTCAATGTTGCGTCATAGACGGCCCAGTGGTGTGGTGGGACGGGTTTTCCGGCAGGCGTGCGGTACGTCGCACGCGCGATTGTGTTTGTCGGGTAGACAGTACCGCTCTCGTGCTCTGTGTTTTCTCAAGCCCCGGCTTCCTGCGCGAGCGCGCATCACGCGTACCTTTAGATAAGTCCCGCATAGCGAGAGTCCGACTCGGCGCGTCGGCGGGTGGTGCAGACTTTGCTTTAGTCAGACGCGAGGTAAGGCCTCCCGGGCGGCCTGTTGTCGCAGCGACCGGGTCGTAGCGGAAACGCGCGAGGTCCAATGAGGCAGCAGCTTTGGACGACGAATAGGATGATGTCATGGAGAATGGTATGATGTTAGCGAGAATCGCTACTTTCTCTGACGCAGGAGACGCCTATATATGTGTGTCACAGACACTTTGCGCGCAAAGTCGGCGAGGTGACTCGGACACGGCGATGACTTACTATAGTCACCTGACCGTGTGCGTCATCCGTCCGAGTCAGACAGGCCGAGCTTCTGACTGATGCCATCGGATTTAGATGCCTCGAATTGGTCCCCTCTGGAAGTCAAAGGTGAGATGGATAGATGATGTTAGTAGAATATGAAGACGTGCACGCACTGCAAGCTCGAACGAAGGATTTAACAAGGGCATGCGAGACGCATATCTAGTACCCTCTGCCCGATACCTGAAGCTTAATGAGCATTTAGAGCACGGCGTGCCATTCCTTGCGAGTCGCTGTTTGAGACTTCACAATAACAATTGGTTGCGTATGTATAAAATATTGTGCATTGTGTCCGCGATGGAGATCCAGTGTTTTACGCACCCTATGATAGCGCTAACGCACATCGCGCACTCTGGACCCCGTGATTGTGAGAGTACGAACCTCCAAACAATCCGGCAGAAAGTATTATAAAAGTAGGAAACGGGGAAAATTTGTGAACGATATACACCAATTCCAGCTCTCTGGCGGGGAGTCGAACCCCGCTCTCCCGCGGTTAGGTGCACTTGACAGGCGGGTGTACTATCCGATATACTACCAGAGATGTTTTTCTGCGATGAAAAAAGCAAGGCTAAAAGTGCGGCCCATTTTTGGCCTCTCAGCATACTACAAAGCCCGTCTTGGGCTACGATCTTTGCTTGCTTTCCAAGCTCTTCGGGTCTTCTCTGGGTCCGAAAGCGAGATAAAAATGTACGTACATTGGCGAGCTGTGAGCACCGTGTATCGACCGGCCGGAAAGATTAGGCTTCCATTCATTAAGCCTTTTTATAGGCGGAAGCATCAACGCGCTGATGCTGCACCGCCTACGCAACGATACGCTATGCGTTGATACGAGCTAGAACTCAAGAGCGCGGCGCAAGGCAGGATGTCGTCGAAGAGAAGGATGCCTAGGATGGACGTACAAGAAACGAGAAATGAGATAGTAGCAAAGTATGACCGTCGATGCCTCCGTCCGCCCCTCCAAGCTTACGGCACAAAGATCGTCAAGACATACCCAAATCTCCGCATCTGCGTCCGTTAATATCTCCTCCCGCGTGAGCTGCCGGGCCCTTGGTACGGACTATAATCCGGCGGCGGGCGTCCCCCTCGCGGCGGCGAGCGCCCGCGGCTGGATGCGCTCGGGATTACGGCGTTACGGAAGACTTGCATGAGGTCGTCCGTGCGAAAGACCGGCCCTAGAGACAGTGCACACAGGCCAGCCTCAGCACGCCGTCACCTAATATGCTGACCGAAGGAGATACGTACCGTCGAACGCGCTCGCGGGAGGAAGCGAGCCGATGAACCAGGACAGCACGCCGGGCAGCTGCACCTTCTCCTCCTCCTCACGCTGTCTGCGCGCTTCGCGCTCTCGCTCACGTTCCCGCTCGCGGTGCTCCCATCCACCGGGAGAATTGTACCGCCGCCTGCCGTGCCCGTGCCAGTCACGCCCGGGCGGCGACGCCTGTCGTGCACGCTTGCTGTACCCGTCCTCGCGTCGGCGGTGATCCGGCGACGCTGCACGCTTGCCTGGTGGCGGTAGCGACTGCTGCGTCTCGCTCCGTGCGAGCGGCTGTGCACCCTGACCGGTGCTGGGCGTGCTCTGGGTCTTCTCCTGCGCTTGCACCTGCGATGGCCCAGCCGGTGCGTTGCCAGGCGCTGAGCCGTGGCGCGCGAACGCGGCGCCGAGGTCGCGATTTGCGATCGCGTCGACGTTGTCGAAGATGTGGCGCTGCGCGAAGCGCTTAATGGGCGGATCTGTGACCCGTGTTAGCAAGGACTGCGTGGGAGAGGCGGGATGGCGAGCGGACCGTTCGGGTAGACGGCTGCCATGCGCTGTTCGATGGCGAGCGCAGACGTTAGGTCACCGTACTGGTATTGATGCCGGGCCCAACGCTCCCAAATTGGTCGTGCTTTGTCGGGCGGGAAGGTGTTGATGACCTGCTCGAACACCGCACGTGCGTCTGCGCAGACGGATATGTCAGCGTCAATCCCAAGCGTGGAAATGACGACAGGATGGGAGGCGCACTGTTTTCGTCATTGATCGACAAGAGGAAGCTGAGGTAGTGCACGACGAAGTCAGGCTCCGTCCCGAATAGCTCGAGCCCCTTGCCGTAGATCCGCAGCGCTACCGGCGCCTCGCGTGTCGAATGGTATTCCCTCAGTGCTATCACATGCTACCCGTCAGCTCCGACACTAGCATACAAGAAACGCGCGGACATACCTGCCGCCTCGTACACCTGCCACGGAGTCCACTTATCTCTCCTCGCCTTCCCAAAGACCGTCCGTGCACTCTGCTGACCCTCGGCGCGCCGCGCAAAGCGCATGTACATGATCCAGACAACGCCATACTCCTTCTTGCGCTCGCGCAGGTCCTTCGCTTTCGGCGGCTTGTCGTCCGCCGCCTGGGCGGAGAACTCCTGGCTCTGGCTCGCGTTCAGGTTCAGGCTCGCGCTCGTGTTTGCGGCCGCGCCCGGCTGACTCGCGCATGACGTCTGGCTGTTGTTTGGGTTCTGGCTCTCTTGCGACGTCTGGCTTGTGTTCGCCGTATCGCCGAGACGTGCCTCAAGCGTGTCGAGTTCGCCACGTAGCGCGTCGAGGAAGCGTTCGTACAACGCATGCACCTCCTCGAAACTCTGCGTGATCTCGAGAGCTTCCGCATACGCGAAGTTAAGCACGAAGCTGCGCGTGTTAGCACCGGGGAAGAGAACGGGAGGGACGACGCACCTGGTCGGGTTCGCTTCGATACCCGCCTTGAGGATGTTCATCGCTTCCTGTGTTCGCCCGACGCTGGCGGTCCAGACATACGCCATGTACCAGATCTCGCTGAAGAAGCGCATGCGGATGACGGCTTTCCGATACACCCCTTGTAGGCGCGAGATGAGCGTCGCGCGCTGGCCCTCTTCGAGCTCGAGCGGGTTACCCTCTTCCCAGCGCAGGTACGTCTTCCACTGGCCAACGAGTTGGCGCTCGGCTGGTGTGAAGGTCGGCTTCGAGGGGAGCACAAGGGTCGGCGGCGGCGGCGGGGATGGGAAGAGGGGCGCGAGGTGGCGTTGGAGCTGGCGGAGGATGGTACGGGCCTGCATGTAAGAGGGCGAGAGGTCTGCCATGAACTTCTTCGCCTGTGTGACAGCGTCACGTCAGACGCCTAGGGACGGAGAATGGAGACGGCACGGCGTACGGTGATGGGGTTAAGGGTTTTCTCGAAGGCCTCATACTCTGTCCAGAGCGCTTCGACGTTCTCGAGAGGGATTTGGACGGCACGGTGGTATACCTTCCGGAGCGCGTCCATTTTCTGACCATCCTCCCACGCCGAATTGGTCTACGACAATTGTCAGCGACCATGCATTACACACAAGACACGAAAGACAAAATGGGGGGATAATGGCGGGATTACGCTTAGGCAGGAGGTGATGCGCCGTGCTCTCGCTCGAGTACGACAAATCGGTCGAACAATAGGGTAATTCCACGTGGCATGGACTCCTCGAGGGCCATGCAGGACTTAAGGGCTCGCTGGCCGAAGTCAGGTCCGTCACAATCCATCACACATCACGCAGGAGATCAGGCAGCTCGAGCGGTGCAATGGATGGATTGATGCGGTAGGAATAGGGACATGGGTGTAAAGGGATGAATGAGGCGGACCGGCCGGGCGCACGATAAAAGAAACGGAAGGCGGCAGGACAGATTAGAAGGCAAGCACGCACCTCACCGGTGCGGAGGAACTGGATGTAGTTCATCCATATCTCACCGCTGTCTTTATCCTGGCCGATATGGTTAAGAGCAAAGTCGTACGCTTTGCGAACTATGTCACGCTTGTCGGAGTCGGTGTTGACACGTCTGAACAATGGAGTCAGGACATGCGAAAGGCAAAAGGAGCGCTAGCAGACGGACCGGACATAGCTGAGGTAAAACTTCCAGAGTTCGACGGCAGGAGAGGTTAGAAGGAAGCGTTTGAAAAGCGACTCGCCGAAGAGGAGGTTGTTCGGATTTATGAAATGTTTCACGTACGCGATTTGCGCCGCGACCTGTGAATCACGTGAGTGCAAAGAGACAACGTATTTCGCTACCCTGGCTCCACGGGCGGACCTCTCGCGTCGGCGCGGAATAGACCCAGGGATGTGCATAGTTCGCCCACCGAGACCAGACAGCAGCGCAAGGAGACTTACAGTATTCGGATACACGGCTAGCAGTCCTTCATACGTGTCCTTAATCTTCTCCAGGTCGCCCGACGGTTCAGCAAACCGCACGAGCTGATTCCAGCCATCTGGGTCGTGCGGCCGCTCCTTGAGCTGTGCACGCAGGATGTCCCACTCAGATTGCGGCTGCACCGGCGACTCTGCCTTCGCTGCGTTGCTGCTATCGCCCTTCGCTTCCCCGTTCAGCACGGGCGACTGAAGGCTCCGCAGCGCTTGCAGAATCTGCTCGTTCGGCGGCGTTATCATGACCACGTCCTCTGCACCGTCCGTTGCGGGCGCGCCTTGCGGTTTCACGGGCAGCTGCAGTTGAGGTTGGAGCTGTTGTTGTTGAGGTAAAGGTTGAAGTTGTGGCTGGGGTTGAGGTTGAAGTTGAAGTTGAGGTTGAGGTTGCGGCTGCGGTTGAGGTTGCAGCTGTTCCATCTTGCAGTTACGAGTGTGTGTGTTCGGATACGGAGAACTCGTGCTTTTTAAGCAGGTAAAAAGGGCGGTCGACTCTTAGGCAAATCTTGCTCTCCTTCCCTTTAGTTTTGAGGGCGAACGCCACTCTTAGAGCCGGACGTCGAACGTGAAGAAAACTTCGAAGAACGAGCTTTTGACACGGACGGGGCCTTAGGAAGCGTAGCAAGGGAAAATTGAAGCAGACGGGAAGTCCGAAGCGAGGAAACCGGCTGAATTGCCCTGGAGGATTGTTGTTCAAAAACCGGGGCGGGTCAGGGCAGCCGTCAAGCGGGCAGCACGCACTAGCGCCCTGTGAGCAATGCTTTCATCCTTGTTTGGTCCCGTTTGTTGTGTGCTCACGGCACGGCGTCAACCGCGAGCCACTTCCGTCACCAAATGTTCCCAGTGCTAGACCGCGGCTAGGCAGCGCCGTTTTCTTCTAGTCCAAAATCCTATCTGCTACTATACGACGTCAAAACTTGATGAACAGACCTCCTACACTGTTCAGCCTTCAACCAAGGTTCGCACGGACCTTCGTGCTGGGGCACTTCATCACCTTGCCTTGCTCCAAATCTACGGTACAGCCCGATAAATAATCTGCGGTCGTTATAGTGCGCTAAAGTACTGCCATAGTCCTTCTCACTCAGTCTATCTTTCTCCTTCGTTCCCTCCGCCGCTCAATCGCTCTCGCCACCCTCCTCCTCGTCCTCCCATAACACCTCCTCGCGTAGTCCCGCGCGGCTTCGCCGATGTGCCCAGTCGCGCCGGCCCGCGAGTACTGAGAGAGCCGTTGCGAGCACGCACGCGGCGAGCGTGACATACAGACACTGGACGTAGCACGCGCGACCGTCGAAGCACTGCGGGCCGTCGCCCGCTGGCAGCCCTCCACGCGTGCCGAGGCGTGATGCGAGCGCGGCGAACGCAGGGAGGGAGG